TTCCAAGAATTTCCAACTTCGCCACGAATCTTGGAGGTGCGTCAGCGAAAATCTACGATAGCCGTCCGATTCAGCTTCGACGCTTTAGATCGTCGGAGGCGAAACGAACATGAGGTGATAGAGTTCGAGTTTCAGCGCGTGTGGAAACGACCACTCGATAGCGACAGATTGTTCGCTCGCATCCGATCATTCGACAACAGACATCTACGAATTGCCGCTCCAACTCAGGTTTCCATAGTAGCGTAACAAATGGTTAGAAGTCTGTACCTGAGTTGTGGTCAGTAGAATTTAGCTGCACTCTATAATATTGTAGCTTTAATGACTGCTCTGCGTGGTCAAGAAACCACAAAGCGTTCGAGGTTGACATAGGAGTCATGTACTGGTCCGTATGCCGTCGTAACTCTGTAACTATTGCATGCCGTTGCAAAGAAAACTGTTACCAACTGATTGTAGTAGGACGATGTCACCATGCTCATCGGTGGAGCATCCATCCAAGGTCCTGGTCAATGAGATATGGGGATTTCTACGCTTAACCCATCTGACTGCTCTTCCATTTCTAGTAGGTTGTTGGTGACAATGTCAGTGAGTCTAGTATGCCTGATACATGTCCAGTTTAGCACGAATTCCACTAATTGGCCTCGGTGTACGGATGCACGTATAGGTGTACGTCCAATGGGTTGTCATGTGTCCTCTATCCGTTGATGTTATAGTAGCAGTGTCGATGGCGTTGATGTCATTTCAGCTACTCAGTATCGATGTTTAATATGCTCCAGTTCTGCTTGTAGGGGTGCCATTAGAGTAACGCGGACTCCTCTATTCATAGTGGCATCGGTGCTCCGGATTGCGCCTATCAGCTTCCATGGAGGTGACGCTGGTGATGGAGTTGTTGGTGATGCAAGTTCGAAGTCATTAGGCCATGAGGAGTCAAAGATCGTCGTAGTCCTCCCATTCTCATAAGAGTCTCTTTTCTCTGAGATCTTGAGGGCAAGTGGCATAGCCACGTTCGACCATCGCGTAGTGGTATCTCCATCCCACTAGCTGGAAATCGTAGATGTAGTGCCAGGTCGGGTCTTGAAATCATGCAAGAATAAGATCCAGTGTGATCTCCATTTTTTTTTCAGGAAAATCCATAAGGGTTGAGTGTTGCTGTAGTTGTATGCTGCAATGGCGGTGGCGGTGGTAGACACTCGCGGCGGCGGCTGCTGTAGAGGATGCTCCTAACTCGTAACGGTTTGAAGAAGAATCCATCCACTCCCTCTTCCGTATAGAGTCTTCTTGATGGATGTAACAGTTGTAACTACCAGGGAACACGTGTGTCTTGATGCACAGGTATCACTCCATTGCTGCTGGTAAATGTGTCGCTCGAGGGTATGAAGATTACTTACGTCTCCCCTCATTGTATCACGGAGGAGAGCGATAGTGTGCAGTGGAGCACGGTGAAGCCTTAAAAGAGGAGATAGCTGGCAGGAGCACCGGCTTAGGGGGGAATCAGGGCCGGCGGCGTGGAGGGGCCGGCAAGGGGAGATGGGGCGGCACAACAGGCTGGGGCCAGTGTCGAGCTGGGGCTGGCGTCGAGTTGGGGCCAGCGGCGAGCTGGGGCGGCGTTTCGGGCCTGGGCCGGCGGCGAGATGGGGGCGACGTGGCGAGCAGAGGCCGACGGCGAACAAGGGGTCGCGCGGCGAGTTGCGACCGACGGTGAGCTGGGGGCGCACGGCGAGCGGAGGGCCGGCGGCGAACAAGGGCTTGCGTAGCGAACTAGGGCGGCGCGGTGAGACGAGACCGGCACGACGAGCTAGGGCAGCGCGACGAGACGGAGTCCGTGCGGCGAGCTAGGGCAGCACGGCGAGACCGGGTCTGTGCGCCGGGCCAAGGCGGTGCGGCGGGACGGGGCCAGAATGGAGGGCTAGGGCATCGGGGCGGAACGAGGCCGACGCAGGGGGCTAGGGCAGCGCAACGGGACGGGGCCAGCGCGGCAAACGAGGGCACGCAGCGGGACGGGGCCAGCGCGACGGACTAGGGCGGCGCGGCGTGGCGGGGCTGGTGCAGCGGGCTAGGTCGGCGCGGCGAGACAAGGGAGGTACGGCAGACTAGGGCGGCGCGGCGCGGCGGACTAGCCTACGGTAGACTAGGGCGGGGTAGGCCACGGTAGACTTGAGCGGAGGCGTGGGTGGGTGGGACCTACCTAGCGTAATACCATTTCAGAGTAGCGAAATGACTAGAACAAGGCAGTACATAAGAGATATAGGGTTGGTGTTGTACCCTCTAAGAACACAACCATATCTAGCCTATAACTTTGACATAGAATGCATATGTATGAGACCTTCGCTACATGCACATTGTGACCATGTTCTCTAGGCTTAGCTATATCCAGACTCCCTGTTGTTTTTATGTTGCCTCATTGTATTGTTTTCTCGCTGCTCAACTGTTCGACACACGCTCATTGCACTTCATTATTCCTACATGGCCATAAGAGGCAATGATCATCGGCCTTGCAATCTAGTTCCGCCGCAATACTGAGATTTAAGGTGGCTGATGCCCTGTGCTTATTGCATATCCTCAGTCTTGGTAATATCAATTGATCATTAACTACGTCCACGACAGTGTTCACACTGTCAGCGTGCCGAAAGCCACCCAAAGTTTCCATGCAATAGTGGAGTCGTCGTCGTCGTCGTCGTCGTCGTCGTCGTCGTCGTCGTCGTCGTCGTCGTTGTCTAACTGCTGAAGAAAGGTCGAGAGCACTCGAGGAGGTGCGTCTTACTAACGAGCTGTATCAGCAAGAGTTGGCGCGCCTACGAGCTGAAATAGATCAAGCCGAATTCGAAATATCTGGCACTTGATGGGCCAGAAGCTTGAATGCGGGGTTTGCGTGGATTGGTCTGTAGGAACTTGAAAGTAGGGTCATAGCAATTTGGGCCTCTAGCAACCCAACCCAATTAGTGTCCCTGGCAATTGCTGACTCGGCGACACAAAGTACACTCGCAACATGCTCACATAAAACTATAGTTTAGTCACTCCCAAAATATCTAACTAATGCACGTCATGCTTCTCAAAATTAACAATTTGGGCTGCGGGTTTAACACCTGTTACACATTGTGCATCTGTTTGGACGATTTGCGCGTGGCGAAGCCATGCGAAACTCAGATTCAATTCGGGTACGACGCGATTCAGAGCGCATTCGTGCGTTTGACTGACGGACGAAGTTTGCCCAAGCGTGTGGCTCCCCCCCCCCCCCCCCCCCCCTCCCCCCCCCCCCCCCCCCCCTTTTTTTTTTTTTTTTTTTTTTTTTTGGGGGGTTGCGGAGCAACGTTTTGCAATCGATCGGGCTGTTTTTTTTTTTCAAGTTTGTGAAATAAAAATCAAATGTTTGTTGTGATGGAAATAAAACATTTTATGTATAATAAAGTCTCATCATGAAATGCTCCGCAACCCTAAGACGATCTCGTCGCCTCTTGTTTTTGGGTTGCGGAGCAATCTATTGCAATCGATCGGGCTGGTTTTTTTTTTCAAGTTTGTGAAATAAAAATCAAATGTTTCTTGTGATGGAAATAAAACATTTTATGTATAATAAAGTCTCATCATGAAATGCTCCGCAACCCTAAGACGATCTCGTCGCCTCTTGTTGTTGTTGTTGTTGTTTTTTTTTTTTTTTTTTTTTTTTTTTTTCGGGACTTATGTCTATATAGCGTGAGTGTTCGTAAGGTATGGTCCCCGAAGCAGTTTCAAAGTTTCCGACTCTCCACAAATGTTCAGGTGAATTGCACAGCCGGAATGTACGTAAAGTTCGAGACTGCCATCGCATCATTTTTTATAGCTGTGGAAAGAAGCCCACCATTCTGTTCCTTTTCGGATGATTAGGATTAATGCGGGTAAAAACTATGCTCTTGGGCAAACTTCGTTCGTCGGTCAAACGTACGAATGCGCTCTCAGAGTGGTTTGGGCGCACTGTGCGGTGGGGACACCGACTGGATGCTGGTGTGATTGGTTTGGCCAGTTCGCTTGTCCTTTCTTCGCCCGTTTAAACTACAGTACAGCGCGGTGAGTTGCAGTTGCAGGCGATGTGGTGCATTTCTGGTCAGTTGTAAAGCGAAGCCCCGTTCGGTGCGGAGGGTCGTTGGTGGTACTGTAGAAGGAAACATCAGCGGAGGTTGGGGGGTTCACCGTATCTGTTATTCCCACGTCATGTCACGTTCCGGAAAGGACGAGCCACGTCGGCATGAAGCGCAGACACGCGGAGGATACAAACGATATCCGCAAAATGCCCAGCCCGATTCTGTCCCAAAGTGCACCCTCCCGATCAATAATTCCATCCACATTCATCCAGCGCGACTCGTGAACATAGTGTTCTAAAGTTGGGCACCCTTAAACCCTTTGCATCCTAGGTGTACAGCCTTTCTGCTCTTAGGGTGGGTCTAAATAGTTCAATTGGGGGATTTTGGACCGTCTTTACGAACTCGGGTACGACAACTGAAAACGGTCCCAAAATCGTTTCCTCCCCAAACCGCGTTTCATATTACGAATGAAACAGAAGCTGGCGCCAACTGGGTGCTTCCCAAAAAACGGTTTGCATCAGACGCCCCAACTCGCAGTTACCAATGCCGCAACTCGCGAAACAGATGTTTCGTGCTGGGTTAAGTGGCGGGTGTGATTTGGCGTTGCGCCACGCGAGATTTTCCGCGAGGACGCCTTGCTCTCGCCACTCCTGGCTTGGCGAAACCCCAAAGCGCCACACGTGTCCACCGATACCAAAACGTAAACCTAACGTCACCGAAACGTAAACAAATCATGTCCATTCACATGCATCAGCGTCCCGAGTTACGTCATTTTCGCGCACGTGTCCCCGCGAATCCAAACTAGGTTAAAATCGGGTTACTTTTCACGGAAAAAATAGAGTATGAATTCTTTGGACCCGCCCTAATACGGTAGCACAGTACAGTTCAGCACAAGACTCAGCACCAGGGCCTTCTGGTCTCTCCCTTGGAGCTACGCCTGTTCCAGAATCCAGACTCATCAGCACATACGCAGTTGAGCACAACTTGGATTAGAACCGTCAACCAGAGTCCACTTCGTAGTTTGGGGACACGGATACCTTGATCCGCCTTGACTCGGATAGAAATCGTGTGCGAAGCAGTCGCATCGAGCAGTCGCATCGAGCAGTCGCATCGCAGTCGCGTCGAGCACTTTCTGGCTGGTCCCATCGCATTCTATTCCAGCACGCCTCCCTCTTCACCCGCGGCACCGTCATGGCGGCCCCTTCCCCGCCGCCGCCTGTCGCTCAATCCAAGCCCTCCCGCGCTCGTCGTGGCAGCGGGTCGTGGCACGCCGTCCCCTTCCCCCCTCGTGCCGGCGCTCAAGGCTCAACCGCCTTCCCCTCCGCCCCTCGCACTGACGGCGACGCCTCAACCGCGGCCGCCATCCCCGCCTTTCCCGCCGCCAACCCCGCGACTTTCCCCGCCGCCGTGCCCGCCGCCGCGTCTCAAGGCGGCGGCGCAAGACCCGCCGTTGGGCGCGGCGGCGCGCTCTCCCCGTTTGTTCCGCGCTCTTCTTCCGAGAGGGCGGAAGCGGGGTCCCCGCATCCGCCCCTCACAGGCGGCTCTCCGCTTGAGAACGCCGCAGCCAGCGTCCGCGCGTGGTGCGCGCGCCGTTACCGCGGAATCCTTCCGCATGCGGGGGAATCCGCGCCACCGCCTAGAGTAGCAGTCGGCGGAGGCGCAGCAGGAGCTGGGGGGGTCACAGGGGCGGACGGCTCTGCTCCGCCCAGCTGCGGGGAGGCTGGTAGCGGCGGAAGCGGAAACCGCCGCGCGGGGGGAAGGGAGAAGCAGAGCAGGCATAGGGGTAATGCGTCTGCAGGCATAGGGGTTCTCGATTCGAGTCAACCAGGTCAAAGATCCCCATCCCCACCGGGCGCATCCGCGCTGGGTGCTGGCGCAACTGCGCCGAGTGCTGGCGCACCTGCGCCCTCCCCGCGCGCGTCCGCCTGCCCGTCGGAACGATCGAGCGCGTGGGGGACGCCGGGCGGAAGCAGCACGAGTGAGTATAGCGAGGGGACGGACGATGAGGACGAGATGTGGGAGGATAGCGACTGGATGTCCGCGGACGAAGCGGAGGGCGGCAGCTGCGGAAAGTGGTGGCGCCTGGAGCGGTGGGGGACGAAGACGAATAGCCGCGAAAGTGCGAACACTGAGAGTAACTACCCCTCCCTAGCTGGTTGGGGCAGGAAAAACTTTTGGGGAAGCGGAGGGAGGGCAGGGGGAGGGGGGGGGGGGGTGCGGGTGGTGCGGAGCCCCCAGGGGGAAAAGTCGAGGTGGCGGTAGGGGGAGTAGGTGACAGAAACGAGGGTGCTTTGATAAAAGCTGCAACTTTCCGAAGTAAGAAACGACAGAAACACGGATTGTACAGTAGAAAGCGCAGAGGGGGGAGGCGACGGAGAACAGAGGAGGAGGACGACGAGAGGGACCGAGGGTTGCTCTGGAAGCTTCTCAGCAAGTGCAGCGTGGAGAAATGTTTGGAGCTGACCCAGTTTGGCCGGTTCTTGTGTCTGCTGGCGTGGGCCATTGTGACTATAGCGGTGGCGTTTGCGGTGTTCTGGGTGACCTATCGGAGCTTCCAGGCGGCAAGGCAAGTGGAGTTGGAGCAGGAGTGCGACAAGTGGACGTCGCTGCTGGAGAGCCGCTTCAGACAGGCCAGTGAGCAGGTACGAGCAGGTACGAGCAGGTACAAGCAGGTACGAGCAGGTACGATCAGGCAGGCCATGCAGGCCGTGCAGGCCGTGCAGGCCATGCAGGCCATGCAGGCCAAGTGGGGTGAAGGGAATTGCCCGGCTGACCAAACCATCTATGCGCCCCATGTGTTTCTCACCATGCATCGCATCCCATGTGCTTCCGCACCACGCATCTCAACTCAACTCAACGCATGTCATGTCATGTCATCTCATCTCGTCTCATCTCATCTCGTCTCATCTCATCTCATCTCGTCTCATCTCGTCTAGACATGGGCACAAGCCGAGCCACACCTGGCTCGGCTCAGTTCGCGCACGCGAAATCAGGCGAGCCGGAATCGTCCCGTTTCGGCTCGAGCTGGCTCGATTTCGAGCCAGCCGGCTCGCGGCTCGGGGAAGGGGGGGGTTCGCGACTGTCAAATTTTAGATCGACAACCCCCCCTTTCAGATCGACAACCCCCCCTTTCAGATCGACAACCCCCCCTTTCAGATCGACAACCCCCCCTTTCAGATCGACAACCCCCCTTTTCAGATCGACAACCCCCCCTTTCAGATCGACAACCCCCCCGTGCCCATTTCGTCTGCCAACCCTAACCTCGCCCTGTCGCCCTAGTCTATCGCCCACAGCCAGCCCAATTTAAATCCGCAGCACCTCCTGAGAGTTTTGTAAGATGTAGAACCAGACGATCAGCTAAACAATCTGGGCCAGGCCATGGACTAGAGACCCCAAACCCCGTGGCCCCAACTGACAGCCCGCACAAGCCCCCCTGACGAGCCGAGCCGAGCTGGCGAGCCGGCGAGCCGGCCCCGGGTATCCTGAGGACCCAGCTCAAGCCGAGCCGAGCCAGGCTCGGCTCATGCCCATGTCTTATCTCAACTCATCCCATCTCATCTCATCTCATCTCAACTCATCTCATCGCATCTCATATCATCGCATCTCATCTCATCTCATCTCATCTCATCTCATCTCATCTCATCTCATCTCGTCTCATCTCTTCTCATCTCATCTCATCTCATCTCATCTCATCTCATCTCATCTCATCTCATCTCATCTCATCTCATCTCATCTCATCTCATCTCATCTCATCGCATCTCATCTCATCTCATCTCATCTCATCTCATCTCGTCTCATCTCTTCTCTCTTCTCCATCCCCCCATGCCATCAGGTCCGGCTGCTGGCGGCAGTCGTCTCCACCTTCTTCTTCCAAAAGCCAAACTCCACCCTGGATCAGGTCAGTCAGCACAGGGGGGGTCACAGCAGGTCAGTCAGCACGGGTGGAGTCACAGCAGGTCAGTCAGCACAGGGGGAGTCACGTCAGTCAGGTCAGCAGCATTAACTGAATAATAATCAGCCAAATTATTGAGTCGGCCAAAACACCCATACAAGCGCTTTTAAGCGTCCAGCTTCCCCTATCCTGCCACATCCCCCCCCCCTCAAACTCCACTTAAACCCCCCCACCACTCCGTCCCTTCAAACAAGAGCATCTTTTTCCGCTGGTAGATGGAACCGACTATGCCCCGTCCGCTGCTGTTTGGCGTCTCCTTATCCCCCATCACCCACGTCCTCGCCCCTCTCCCCCCTTCTGTAAACAGCCCACCTTCTTCTGGTTAACGGCATCGACTATGCCTGCCCGCTGTTGCGTGGCGTCCCCTGGTGTTTCTCGCCCTCTGTTGTTTCATGCACTTTATCCCCCATCCTCCCCCTCCTTTGCCACTACTCCCCCTTGGTCCAACAGCCCACCTTCTTCTCTCTGGTTAATGAAACGGACTATGCCCGCCCTCTGCTGTTTGGCATCTCCTTTGCTCTCCGGGTGACTCAGGCGCAGCGGGCGGCGTTTGAGCAGCAGCAGCAGCAACTAGGGGACAGCTCATACTGCATCAGGTACTAGAGTGACCGTTGCATTGCACAGAGAATGCGGCTGATAAATGCATCAGGCACAGAGCGTGTTGCATCGGGTACAAACACTCACTGCACTGCCCATTCCAACAGGCATGATGAGCATAGGCTTGGAATGGCCTGGCCCGATTCTCCTCCGCCCGACTTTGGGTCAGGCCGGGCTGGGCCGGGCCAAGGTCTGGCCTATGTTACTCTAAATGCGCTTTTTGGGGAGCGTTTTGCATATATACGCTAAACGCTAAGCGCAGGGGTAAACTATAAACGCTCGGCCACATTTTGGGGGGCAGCCCGACACAAATTTTGTGGAAATCGAAAGTGCGTAATTGCGACATGGCGAATCCAACGCGACATTCTCCATGTTGCAATTCCCAACCTGGGAGCCCATTGACTTCAAACCAACTCCCTCCCTTTCACTGCACTGAACTCCCTCACAACTAGGGAGGGAGGGTGATACCGTGGTAGAAAGGTGGATGTGGGGGGGATAAGGGGCTCCAAACCGTGATTGCGACTTGGTTTTGGCATGCTTAAACTTGACAATTCGCAATCCTACGCAATGGAAAAAAACTATGCTTCTGAAACCGCTCTCTAGCGTTTAGCTTATATGCGTTGACGTTTCATGCGCTAAACGCGTTTAGAGCAACATAGGGTCTGGCGACTTTGGGAACTCCCCGGCCCGTGACCGGGTTAAGGGGTCGGGCCGGCCTTGGCCCGGGGGTGGGCTGGACCGTCCGCCCCCCAAAACTGGACTGGGGGTGGGCCGGGATCGGGCCGCCTATCTCCGGCCGAGTTTTGGGGATGGACGGCCCGTGCCCAGGTTTTTCCGGGCCAGGTTGGCGTGTCGGAGCGTTTTGCTCTAAGCCTGCATTCCTGTCGTCAGCCGATTAAGAATTATCTGCCCATCCCCCAACTGCATCCCTCCTTTCAGCTTCTCCCCCTCATTCAGCGCGTCGCATCCCCCTCACCTCCGCTCTCCCCCTCACCCCCTCGTCCCCTCCCTTCCCTATCCCCCCCCTCCCCACCCCCCCCATCCATCCGAAGGCATGGCAGCATGTGCGTCCCGCACAACCAGACGGAGTACGCACCCATTCTCTTCACCAGCGCTTCTCGCGACATGATTGGCCAGGGCTTGCTGAACCGCCCTCTCCGCCCTGACCAGGCGCTGACCAGCGCTGACTTGGCTGACCTGCCCGCAGACCAGCGGGCGTTTCAGGAATTCATAGTGTGGGGTGAGTGTAACACTTGTGCTGAGCATCTCTTACCATGTTGACCAGCCATTGACTGGCGTTTCAGGAATTCATGGCATGGGGTGAGGGAGCGTTGGGTCTTTCCGTCTCCCTGCCAGTGCATGGGTTATGAGAACCAGATATAGATGATTCATACCTGAAATGTTATGAGTTGCCACAAATCCTAAACCCTTCTGCCCCTTTTATCTCCTCTTTGAACAAATGTTTGCGTTGTGAATTTTGTGAAACAAGGGCGTGTTCAAGGAACAATGGAGCGGCTGCTTCCTCGTGCCCTCTTTTTTCCCTCTCCTCCCCCAACCCCCACGCCTACTTCCTCCTCCTCCCTTCCTCTCTCCTCTTCCTCTTCTCTCTCAAGACTTTTTGAACTAAGAAACAGCAAAACACACATTCAGGGTAACGCAAGGTCCTCACCAGCAACTACCCTCAAGCTCGCCACGGGAGCTCCAGGAAGGGCTTTAAGACTTCGTGGGCGTCGCTAAGCTAGTGGTTACACGTGCCTCCTATCTTTTTTCTACCATTTCTTATCGTCCTCCCTCCTTTCCTTACTGCTCCCTCTCTCCCCCTGTCCTTCTCTCAGCCAACCACCCAGCAATAACGGAGGCGGTGACTCGGGCAAGAGAAAGCGGCGTGATGGGAGCGCTCACCCCGCCCTTCCACCTCAACCTCTCCCTCTCTATCTCAACTCGGACCATCTCCCACGGCCTCTTTATTGTCTTCCCCGTTTATCGCACGCTCGACCCGCTGCCCGAAGGCTTGCCTTCTAGCGAGTACCGGGCGGCGTGCCTCGGCTACATGACAGCTATTATGGATTTTGATCCGATGTGGGAGACGATGCTCGAGGTGTGTCTTTAATGCACATTCATTGTGGTGCACCTTTATTGTGGTGCGCCATTGATGCGCATTCATTGTGGTGCGTCTTTAATGCAATGCATTATTTATCCGTTGAGTATTGGCTCGATTAGCATCGCATGAGTTTGTATAGAATTCAGTTTTCTTTTACATTTACATGATGAGACTTGGGTGTGTTGTGTACTCGGAGTTTACTTGCGTTCCACCTAATCCATTTCTGCATGGAATCAGACAGTACGCCATATTGCCCCATTGCAAGCCGCGATGTCTATCTAGTCGTACCATTTCTGATCCCGGGTCCGCAATCTCCGGCCTCATCACTGCTTTCTATTTGCCCTCCATCACCCAATCACGCGCAGGAGTACCATGGGTCAGCCCTCCCCATGTTTGCGCGCATATACGACGTCACGGGGAGCACTGGGGAGAAGGGGAAGCGAGAGGGGGATGTGATGTACGAGCCCAAAGGACAAGAGTTGCCGCCCGGACAGGCGGACTCTTATGCGCATGTGAACATGTTGAATCTGGGGGACAAATACAGAGAATACGAGATGCGGTGCAGGTGAGATGTGGTGCAGGTGAGACGCGGTGCAGGTGAGATGCGGTGCAGGTGAGATGCGGTGCAGGTGAGACGCGGTGCAGGTGAGATGCGGTGCAGGTGACATGCGGTGCAGGTGAGATGCAGAGCAGGTGAGATGCAGAGCAGGTGAGATGCAGAGCAGGTGAGGTGTGAGGTGTGGTGTGGTGGTTTTTAAAGCTAACGTCGACATTTAGGTCGGCATTTCCCAAATGCCGGCTGGGCCCGGCTGGCGATTGGGGTTGGCGCTGGCGAGGCCGTAACGGTGTGTGTGATGCGAGATGGGGTGGTGTTATCCTAAACCTGTTCACCCATGATTAGTATCCTTGGGCAGTGAGTGCAAGCTTGATTAGTATCCTTGGGTAGTGAGTGCAAGCTTGATTAGTATCCTTGGGTAGTGAGTGCAAGCTTGATTAGAATCCTTGGGTAGTGAGTGCAAGCTTGATTAGTATCCTTGGGTAGTGAGTGCAAGCTTGATTAGTATCCTTGGGTAGTGAGTGCAAGCCTGATTAGTATCCTTGGGTAGTGAGTGCAAGCTTGTGTGACCCCACACATGCGCAAGGGCCGACCTCGAGCCGACCAAGCGCCCGGCTCAAGGTTCGTCCAAAACGGGCGAGACGTCGGGCTGGTTGGATGTGAATGGGGTGGGGGGTTTGTGAGGGATAGGGGGGGGGGGGAGGGGCGGAAAAGGGGCTGCTCAACTTGAGCTGATTCACCGCGCGACAAGCCGGCCGGTATGTAGTCCTGTGCATGCCGTGTGTGAGGTTTAGTGCTTATAGCCGGCATGGTAGCAACTGGAGCTCATCAACGCCCCTACCCACCCCACCAATAGCGCACACATCCTCACACATGCACCCTGCTCCCTCGCTCATTCCCCACGCTCCCCGTGTCTCTTCCCCCCACAAGCCAGGTACTATGTAACCTATGTGTTCCCGGCCTCGAGCCTGGGGTGGGCCATCCTCGTTATAGTGGTTATGAGCCTGGCGGCGTATGTGTACTGGGCGGCGTGTGAGCACGTGCAGCAGCTGGAGCGTGACTACCACCGGATGGAGGCGGTGAAGAACAGGATGAAGGCGGCCAAGCGCGTGGCGGAAAAGGCCAGCAAGGCCAAAGGGACGTTCCTCACCACCATGAGTCACGAGCTCAGGACGCCGCTCAATGGGGTTATAGGTGCGTGCCGTCGCTCAAAATGGTGATGTTTCTCTGTGGTGTGGCTTTATTTTGCAAGAGATGCTGCGTACAATGTCATGTAACTTCTTCATGCGGTTGCGCTCACGAGTCACTTGTTCCAATATCCCCAGGCATGTTGAATCTGCTGCTGGAGACGCCGCTCACCATAACGCAGCTGGACTATGTGGATACAGCGAGGACGAGCGGGCGGGCGCTGCTGGAGCTGATCAACGACATCCTCGACCTCTCCAAGATCGAGGTATGGCTTATTCTGTGAATGCTGTTGTCAGCTGCTCATGTTACCCTGTTTGAGGGTAAGTTGTTAAAGCCCGCGTCTCATATTTCCTACCGACCAACGGTATTACCTTTGGTGGGGGGAGGGTCTGATGGGGGGTCTGATGGGGGGGTCTGATGGGGGGGTCTGATGGGGGGGCGAGGGGCGAGATTTTGAAAGAGAGTGGGCGAGGGTTGCGACAATTATGAAAATCGTGGAAGGTCCAACTTTGACTAGGCTTCTGAGTTTCGTATTTCTGCAGACCCGTATTATGTTTGGTTTGAGCCCACAAAACGTTGAGGGTGTGGATGGTGGGGGTCGGATTCTCAAAGTTTCGCAAGCAGTTGCGATTCCAGTGTTGGATTTTGGGCCGAAATTTTGTTGCGTGAGACACTTTCGGGTCCTGATTCCGTGTAACCAGCCCAGGTTCCGGAAACTCGGTTATTGCGAACTCGTCCTCGGGTTCGCTTTGCTGAGGTTGGATATCTAGTCTCGCACTCACTTGCGAGCCCTCGCACAAAGAGAACCTACGCCACCTCGTACCAAGCGTATAACCTTAGGAAATATGAGACGCGGGCTTTAATGTTGTATTCTTGTTTTGTATATTGTTGTATCATACGTTTTGGGGTGTACTGACGCAGACACGGAATAGATTTTCTCCATAACTTTGTTGATAGCATTACCAAGATATTTGCTCGACACTCTATATTTTCCTTCCCTTCCTTCTCACACTCACTTTCCCCCCTCCTCGCCCTCCCACCAATCCGAGGTCCTGGCAACGGTGCATCTGGTCCTGGCCATTGTCAACTCTTTACCTCCCACTTCTTGCTCCCCTTCCTTCTGCAGGCGCACAGAACGCAGTTGGGGCATGGCCCCATGGCACACGCTGTGGGCTCGACACGGTGCTCACCATGTTTATGGAACGCTTCCAAGCCAAGACACACACAGAGGCCTGAAAGCCCTTCACTCTCTTCGTTCCTCCCTCCCTCACTTATCCTCCCCCCCCCCCCTTCCTTTCCCCTCAACCCCAGGCGCAGAAGATGCAGCTGGAGCATGTGTCTAGTTTTGAGGCGCCTCAAAACGATGCAGCTGGAGCAGGTCCCCATGGACGTGCGCTGTGAGGTGGACACCAACCTCACCATGCTTGTGGAGCCCTTCCAAGCCAAGCCGGCCCTGGAGGTCTCAAAGCCCTTAACTCTCTCTGCGTTCCTCCCTTCTCACTCCCCTCCCCCCCCCCCCCCCCCCCCCAGGCACAAAAGATGCAGCTGGAGCACGTCCCTATGGACGTGCGCAGCGAGCTCGACACCGTGCTCACCATGTTTGTCGAGCGCTTCCAAGCCAAGCCACACCTGGAGGTTGCCGCCTATGTCGACCCGCTCGTGCCCGCTGCTGTGCTCGGGGACTCCCTGCGCTTCCGCCAGGTGGGTTGCCCGGGCTTGTCAGGGTTTAGGGTTGTGGGCTCTCTTTGTCATGTCATCTGTTGCACGTCTGTGCTCTCACGCCAAGCCGGCCCTGGAGGTTGCCGCCTATGTCGACCCTGCTGTGCCCACTGATGTACTCGGGGATTCCCTTCGCTTCTGCCAGGTGGGCTTGGGTGCGGCCCACACTGCTGTAAGAGCAGCTGTGATGCTGTGATCTCGCTTCCAGCCACTGCTACAGGCTGCTGCCTATGTCGACCCTGCTGTGCCCACTGCTGTGCTCGGGGACTCGCGGAATTTAAATCGTCTGCTGACGCATCTTCATCGTCAACTTCCCTCACACTCTCCCCCCCCTCTCCCCCCACAGCTGCGCCCACCAGGCACTCATCAACCGGCTGTCTGTCCAACTGGTGCAATGCAAGCTCACCTTCTGAGTGCCGCACCCCTCCTTCCGCCAATTATTATGTCACATTGTCGCACTGTTATTTACGGACAAGCATCCTTCATTGCTATCCTCCCTCAAACCCCCCCCCTCCCCCTCCCCCTCCCCCCCACCCCCACCCCCTTTTCTCCCCTCACCTCACCCCCGGGACCCACCCGCCAGGTGCTGATCAACCTGCTGTCCAACGCATGCAAGTTCACCGAACGTGGTCACATCTTCATCGCCATCCGCACCGCCCACCTCCATGAGGACCTCCGCAGAGACCCCACCCGCCCCCACTCCAAGCGGTGGCTCCAGGCGCTAGGGGGGCAAGTGGGGCAAGGGGGGCTAAGGCAGGAAGGGCCGCAGCAAGGGAGGGAAGGGCAGGAAGGGCCGCAGCATCAGCAACAAGATCAGCATGGGGAGGAAGATCAACAGAAGCAGCAGCCGCAGCAGCAACAGCAACAGCAGGATGGGCACCACGCACTCACGATACACTCCTCTGCACCGGACCGCACCACTACCATAGGACTCAGCGGCCTCACAGCATCAAACACTATGCAGCACCCTGGTGGCCTTCGCCAGCTGTCGCTCAACATATTTGGGAAGTTTTTCGGGCGGCAAGCTGTGCAAACCGGACAAGATTCCACACAAGGTCGAGCAACACGGCTCGCGCCCGCGCCCTGTGGGGGGAGTCATTGGCAGGAATTGGAGGAAGGAGACGGCAGGTTTGGCGGTTCGTGCCTCACGGTGTCTGCTGCCACGATGACCACCGTGTCCTTTCGCCCCGAGAGACTGCTCTCCCGCGCCAAAGGCGACACCCCGAGCGACGAGCCTGCTGCTGGTGCTGCTGCTGCTGCTGCTGGTGGTGTTTGGGAGCTGCAAAAGAATATTAGTGGTGGTGGTGGGCACTCGGCTGCTGCCTGTTTGGAGGAGCGTGGACTTCTGGAGGACCAAGGCGGGACCCTGGAGGAGGTACTGGTGGAGGAGCAAGGGGTGGTGGACTATCGACCTCTAGTGGAGCAGCAAGGGATGATAGCCCATTCTAGTGAAACTCGGGCGCAATTTGAGGGGCGAGAACTGGTGGAAGTTGTGGTGGACCCTCTTGACTCAAAGGCTGTTGCTACCGGTGCTGCTTCTGGTGCTGCTGCTTCTGCTGCTGTTTCCGATGCTGGTGGTGTTTGTGCTGGTGCTGGTCCTGGTGCTATCAGTGTTGGGTCAAGCAGCTGGCAGCAGCAGCAGAAACAGCAACAGCAGGAGCGACAGCAGCAACAGCACCAGCAGGAGCGACAACCACAGCAACAGCAACAGCAGCAACGGCAGCAGCAGGAGTGGCAACCCCAGCAACAGCAGCAGCAACAGCAGCAGCAGAAGCAGCAACAGCAGCAGCACATGTCACTGAGTGGGCTACCAGCAGTGAGCAGCTGCAACAGCTGGCACGTGCTGGCTGCCAGGAGGGTTGATTGGATGAGGCAGGGGCGTCAGCAGCTGCTGCTGCGAGGTGGTGAGGGGGAGGAGGGGGGTGAGAGAGGGGAGAGAGGAGGGGAGGGAGGCACGGAAGGGGTGGGGGCAGATTGCATCCAGGATCAGGAGGGAAGTGCAGCAGCCACAGGAGCAGTGGCAGCACGGGAAGCAGGAGCAGCAGCAGGGGCAGCAGACGACAGGCCTCAAACTGTCCGACTGGTGGTATCTGTTGAGGTGGGCGGCATGATGGGGTGGGTGGCATGATGGGGTGGGTGGCATGATGGGGTGGGCGGCATGATGGGGTGGGCAGCATGATGGGGTGGGCGGCATGATGGGGTGGGTGGCATGATGGGGTGGGCGGCATGATGGGGTGGGCGGCATGATGGGGTGGGCGGCATGATGGGGTGGGCGGCATGATGGGGTGGGCGGCATATTTCCTGCGTAACAGAACACAACAGGACACGGGAGAGAGCACTACAGGACACGGGAGAGAACACAACAGGACACGGGAGAGTGCACTACCCTCCTCCACAACTAACAATATACTCACCAAAGTGCACGTACGGCGGCACTGGTATTGTATCGACCTCCCCGTCTCCCTCATTCTCCCCTCTCTTCTTCCTTCCCTGTTCTCTGGCCCTCTTCGCCATGCGTTTCTGTTGCTACCTACCCACCCCACAGGACACAGGCGAGGGCATCCCCTACCCCGCCCAGCGCACCATCCTGAAACCATTCACCCAAGCCGACGCCAGCACGACGCGCACGCACGGCGGCACGGGCATTGGGCTCTCCATCTCGCGCCACCTGGTGGACCTCATGGGCGGCCGCCTCTCCTTCGCGTCGCGCCCGGGCCTTGGGAGCACGTTCTTCTTCGACCTTCTGCTGCCCTGCGACCACCTTGAGCCCGAGCCCGTCCCGCTCTTGCAACGGGATTTGGAATCTGTTTTGGGAAGGCTTTCTAGAAGTGGAAATGCTGCTGCGTTTGAGATGGACGATGGTGGTGCGGCTGCTGCTGCTGCCGCTGCTGCAGGTACTGCTGGTGGTGGCGCCAGTGGGCCACTGAATGGTTCTACCTTTTCTCCCTTAGACGCGGGCCATGGGGATGAGGCGGGGAGTTCAAACGAGCTCAAGCACGCTCTGGCTCGGGCCAGGCTCGGAGCGATTCTGTTGGATGACCGACCGGTGAGGCTCGGTGTGTTGGAGAGCCTGCTGAACAGGCTTGGCGTGCCGGTCCTCAACTCTGCGTTTGGCTTGGACTGCTCGGCCCAGCCTGGTGCTTGTTCCGAACCTGAGATTGAGGCTCGGGAAAAAACGGTGGCAGAAGTGGTGGTGTTTGTGGATGAGGAATGGCTTCAGAGGCAGCAGCAGCAGCAGCAGCAGCAGGAGGAGGAGGAGGAAGAAGAGGAGGAGGAGGGGGAAGAGGAGGGGGAGAAAGGGCAGCAGCAGGGAGAAGCGGAGGAGCAGGAAGATGAGCACGGTCGTTCCACCATGCGGAGGTGGCAAGCCAAGGCGTGGGAGGTGATGGTGGCAGCTGGCATGGTCAGACCAGGGTCGTGGACGGTGACAGGGACAGAGAGACATCCTGAGTGCTGTCATGCAACAGCGGCGTTTGGTGGTGCGGCCACAGGCAGCGCTGGCTGTGCTGCTGCAGAGGATGCTTCTGGCTGTGAGCGGTGTTTGATGGTTACTCAAGGCACTGCTGGGGAGCATGGCGGTGCGCTGATGGACGTACGGTCGCCGCTGCTCTCTGGTGATGCGCTGGCCCATGCTGCGCCTCAAAGCGGTGCTGCGGAGCAATGCGGAGCTGAGGAGCATGGTCGCACGCTGCATCCAACGCTCTCCATGGCTGCCTGGATGGAGCACTCGCCCTCCCTGCAGTCACTCAGTGCCGCTTCGGTGGCATCAGGTGCACCTGCCAGCACAGACATTCGTATTTCGGGCCCACCTCGCACGGACGCTGCTGCTGCTGCTGCAGATGCGGCTGCTGCTGCTGCTGCTGCGGCAACTGCTGCTCCTGCAGGAGCTGCAGATCCACTAGGTAGCAACGACAACACCAATTGTAACAGATGCCAAAATCGCAATTTATACAGCAATAACTCCAGTGAATACAGTAGCTACAGTGCCGGCTCTCCTTCCTGGGTTGCTGCTGTGCTCGTCTCGGCACGCTATGACGCAGCCTCTGCTGAGGCTGCCAGCGAGGCTGGGTTCCAAGCCTGTCTTTCCAAGCCTGTGCGCGTGGGCGCCCTTGCCAGCTGCCTGGGGGAGATTCTGGGGGCCGGAAGGGGGCAGGGGGAGGGAGAAGGGGAGGGGGGAGGGGAGGGGGAAAGCGAGCGGAGAGGGGAAACCAGGGAGGTAGGTGAGGAGGGTTGGGTGTGGGGAGAAGGAGAAGTGAAGGAAAATGGTCGCTGGGATGGGCTGAGTGAGGAAGAGAGTGCGAGTGAGTGGGAGGAGGAGTCAGGGTCAGAGTGTGAGGGGGGTTCAGTGGTGGGGGTTCTGGAGAATGGGGGTGGGGGGCAAGAGATGCAGGGACTGCTTGGAGCGGGGGTAGGCAGGGGAGGAGGCAGAGGTGGAGGGGGAGAGGGGGGCGGTTGGGGAGGCATGGGGGGAGGGGGGGGCAATGGGCGGAACAGAGGGATGGAAGGTGCAAGTGGAGAGGGGGTGCAGTTGAGGGAAAGGAGAGGTCTGGCAGTCATGGGGCCTCTGCTTGACTATGCCCCTTGCTTGCCTGCCCCGCTGCTTGACTCTGCTGCTTGTTTGCCTGCCAAAAGACATATGGACGGCAATAGTGCTGCTGGTGCAGCTGCTGCTGGCCCAACTCCGGCCCCTGTCTCTCCTTGCCTCCTTGCAACCCCTACAGTGTCACCCTCTCTAGTGTCACCCTCCGCGTTACCGTCACCTTCCCTTGTATCCCCTGCGTCGTCCTCTACCCCGAGGCTGCTCTCTCCAGCAGCAGCAACAGAACCATCACCATCAGCAGCACCAGCAGCAGCATCACCAGCATCACCAGCAGCAGCAGCAGCAGCTTCAGCAGCGCCAGCAGCAGGGGCAGGGGCAGGGGCAGGGGCAGGGAGGGTAGAGACAGAGACACAGACAGAGCCACGTACCCTCGGTCCCTCTCATCATTTTCTCGCTCCACTTTTGCCACATCCCTCACAGTATCCACCGCCCGGCCAGCACATGCGGGCGGCAAGTTGGGGCGGCTTCCAGGATGTGCCGGGCGGCAGTCTGGGGCAGGAAAGCCCGCATTTTGGGGAGAGTCCTGCTCCCGTAGGAGAAGGCCCCGTGCCCGTGGGGGGAAAGTTAGGGGAAGGGAAGTGCAGCAGCAAGCAGGGGGGGGTTACGGACGGGAGTGGCAGAGGTAGAGGTGGCAGTGTGCGTGGTAATAGAGGAAGTTTGAGCCTACGGAGGCAGGGAAGGGAACGCAGAGTGAGCATCGATGGTGGCAGGCGTGCAATGGTAGGAGATGGGGGGATGAAAGGGAGTGCGCATGGGATTGGCATTAGGGAGATGGGGCAGGCTGGCACACGGAACCCATGGAGTCAACACGGTCAACCGGGACAGCAGGGTCGATCCCATGTGAGTCCCCGCACTGTTGCAGCAGCAGCAGCAGCAGCAGCAGCGAGCAGCCCGTCCGCAGTGGCGGTGCGCAGGGCGAACAGCAGCAGCTCGCAGCAGCTGAGCGGGGCTTTAAGTGGGCGGGCGGTGCTGGTGGTGGACGACAACATGGTGAACCGCAAGGTGATCTGCCGCATGCTGCAGCGCTACGGCGTGGCGGTGGAGGAGGTGGATGGTGGCGCCAAGGCTGTGCGGAGGGTGAGGGACATGATGGAGGGGGCGGCGCCACCGCTTGACTGCGTCTTCATGGACATTCAGGTATGTTCCTCCCATGAACAATCTATCGTATGCTACAATCTAGTTAGTACATTTTTCAATACGCTACTGGTGTAGCATGTCCCGATATATATTTATGTTTTTGTATTTCAATGTTATACATTACAAAGGAACACTCTCTGAATGATGTAATGCACCGACTCTCTGAATAATGTAATGCACCGTAGTTCCACAGAAAAGTGATGTGATAGCTTTTGCAATAAGCGAGGGAATAAGGTGTAGTACACCTCAACATAATTAACCCTATGTGTTCCATCCCCCTTGCTTTTTTGTCACCGTCAGATGCCGGGGATGGACGGCTACGAGGCAGTCTCTCGCATTCGAAGCATGGACCAGGAAGTGCCATCAAGCACAGCAGGAACCTCACCCTCATCAGCCGCAGTGGCCGGCCCATCACCCTCGGCAGCGAAGTTCTCAAAAAGCCTATCAGGCTCAGCACCGAGTACTCCATCAGGCACGCCGACAGGGACGCCGGTAGGATCCCCAGTAGCAAGGATGGGGGGTGCAGGCAAGGGGCGGTTACTGGTGATCGCTCTGACGGCGGATGTGGGAGCGGGCACGAGGGAGAGGTGTGTGAAGGCGGGGATGGACGCGTACATGACTAAACCCATTGAGGAGCACCAGCTGTCCCGCGTGGTGCTGCCGTTCTTTGCTGCGCAGGCTGGTGATTGATGCATGGGCAATTAATGTAATGCCTGCATTTTTAATGCAGGTTGTGTGGCAGATGGGCTGGCTGTTAAATTATATACTTGCTATATAATTGGTAGGCTTGGTAGGTGTTACTAAAACCTACTGTAGAGGGCAACCCCCCTCCTTGTATCCCTCTCTCTTCTATTCTCTCTCTTTTCTCTCATCAACTCTCTCCTAGCTAAACCCTCGTGCCATTCCATGGCTTCCTAGCGTCGTTAGCTCGACACTGGCTTGGGAGCCGCTCTTCCTATTTGTGGATGTTGGAAATATCTCGAGGACTTGAGCGTTTCTGAAGTGTAACACCACACACGAGGGAGATCGTAACGGGTACGCGAGTCAACGGAGGTTACACGAGGGGATGGATGTAAGGAATTTCCATTCCTTACTAAGTCGCCCGTTACCGCGTACACCTGAACACTTCGACTCGTCACGTTCGGCCTACATTTTCGACCCAACCCTTTCTTGAGTCGCGTCCGACAGCGTCGCCACATTGCCGAACCTACCCACGTCCCGAGGTTATCGCCCTATTACGTCTACTCCTACATAACCTCGTGCTTTCATTGCAATAGCGACCTTGTATTCTCACGTTATAGTTCATTGACATCTTCTAAATCATAACAGCTGGTATCAGAGCCCGACCTTTCTCGGAACCTTCCGTTTTCCCCGTTAGTTAGTTAAGGGTGGTCAGAGGGGATTAACACGGCTGCACAGCAGTTGCCTTTGATCGTAAATATTTTTACGTCAACAACTACAGCGTGTGCTCTAGTTTCTGCCCCATCCTGACCGCCATGGCCCCGGTAGACTCGACGGTTGAGGAACAGACAACCTCGACTGCTGCGAACTCTGCCCGGGAAACAGTAGACCTGCAAGCATGAATGGAGCAGTTGAATAATTTGACAAGCGTCGTCAACAACCTCCGTGACGAAAACCAACGACTTCGCCAGGCGCAGGAAAGGCGTTCAGAGGAGCCGGGCGACGATGCACGAAGCGAGGCGGGTGAGCAGCAACCGACACCAGTGGAGCTGGCACGGCTAGCGGCAACAGCCCCGCGCTCGACAAGTGGCGGCGTGAGATATCAGCAACCCGCTCCTTTCGACCCAGCTAATAAAGGCGTGACGGTGCGGCAGTGGATATTCGCCATGCATATCTACTTTAACGCGGCGGGCATCCGAGACGACCAGAAGCGGATCAGCCACGCGTTGACATCGCTGCAAGGGGCCGCCCTACAGTGGTGGAAGGTCATCGTCGACTCAGCGGCAACTCGCACAGAAGGACAGCATGAGTGGTCCGAAGAATTCGGCGACGAAGACGAAGCAGATTTGCTGTTTGGTGCAACTCACATTCGCACGTGGGCAACGTGGTGCGCAGAGCTTCGCAAGCGGTTTGAGCATGCCCCTGACTCAGACAAAGCGCGCGAGACTTAACGCATGTGGAAGCAGCTGGGATCTGTGTCTGACTACACCGCGTCATTCTTGACGTTGGTGGATCGATGTGGCTACATGCACGAGTTGGAGAAGGTCGACAGGTACATGGGCGGGTTGAAGCCTGAAATACAGTACCAAATAAAATTACAACGACCTGCGAAGCGGTTACAAGACTTCATCCAACTCGCCGAAGCCGCTGACTCGCTCACGAAGCCGAGGACGAACTTCTACGACGGAGGTCGCCTTCGAGAACAGTACCAGCGCGCCACGATAAAAGGGATGGACGCAGTGGATATTTACGCAGTTGCTTCGCAAAATACGGGGCTATGCTACCACTGTGGCCGACCGAGTCACATCAAACGCAACTGCCAAGAGTTCATAGCCATCCAGAATTCTATGGGGAAGAAGCCGGAGGAGCGACCGGGAAATGGGTCGCGTCAGTAAGTACTGGGCCCCTTACTGACGGGCAGGCTTCTTCGCCCGAACCACACAGTCCCCACCGGGTCGTGATCCCGATTGCTGCAATCGACCGGACCCGGACGAATAAGGGGGACGAAACTGCTGATCACCCTGTGTTGGTGGAGGGTAAAGTCAACGGGGTGTTGCTGAAAATATTCGTGGATGGAGGCGCGAGTCACAGTCTCGTATAGCTAGACTGGGCTAAGAAAATGGGTATCCCCTTATTAAAGTGCCTACCCGAAATTGACGCAAGACTGGTGGATGACACACCGCTGGCTATACGGGAGCGGGTGGAGCACGTCAGTTTCCACTGCAACGAGCACGTAAAATTTCGGATGGGGCTGCTGGCGACTACACTCGACGGGTGCGACGTGCTGCTGGGACGGGATTGGCTGCAACAGTACAACCCGAGAATTGACTGGACGACGGGCAGCTGCAGCATCAAGATCGATGGGCACTATCACGAGTAACCGAAATGGACGGGACCCCGCATGCGAAGTACCCAAGTCCACGCGATCACCTTCAAGCGAGCGATAAAAGCGGGAGCAGCAGCATACGCCGTCGACCTTCGCGAAGTGACGTCGCCGATAACAGCGGAAGATATCACGAAGCTGTGTGAAGCCGTTCCTCCGGATTTAGCGGAGCTCATTCGAAAATACCCCGAGATTTTCTCGGACGACCTACCCGCCGGACTTCCGCCAAGCCGACCCGAAGACCATCGCATAGAGCTGGAACCAGGCGCACAACCGACAGTACAGCGACAATTTCGGCTCAGCCAACCTGAACTCGAAGAATTGCAGCAGCCGTTAGATTACCTCCTGACGAAGGGTTTTATCAGACCCAGCACGTCCCCATACGCCGCCCCGATACTGTTCACACCGAAAAAAGATGGAGGATTCCGCATGTGCATCGACTACCACGCGCTCAACCGCATCACCATCAAGTCCCGTTACCCGATCCCGCGAGCCGACGATCTCCTCGACCAACTTCGCGGAGCCAAGTTCTTCTCGAAAATCGACTTGCGAGGAGGTTACCATCAAATTTGCGTCGCCGCCGACGATTGTCACAAAACCGCTTTCCGAACCCGCTACGGCAGTTACGAATACCTGGTGATGCCTTTTGGCCTCACGAATGCGCCCTCGACTTTTCAGATGACCATGAACGGTGTTTTCCGCAAACTCCTGGATAAATGCGTAATTATCTACCTCGACGACATTCTAATCTACAGCCGCAGCAGGGAGCAGCACTTAAAGGATCTTGATGCAGTCTAAGTGCATCATCACAAAAGGGTCTAAGTGCGATTTTCTTAAGGACGAGTTGGAGTTTTTGGGCCTCGTCGTCTCTACCGAAGGAGTGAAAATCGACCCCAAGAAAATCAAGACTATACAGGAATGGAAGCCGCTGACCAACCTCAAGGAACTGCAGAGTTTTCTGGGTTTCGTCAACTATGTCCGCCGCTTCATCCCCAATATGGCTCGGTTATCTGCTCCTCTAACTGCCCGACTGAAGGATCACGACTGTTTTTGGTGGGGAGAGAAGCAGCAAGCTGCATTCGACCAACTCAAAATCGCCCTCACGTCGCCGCCTGTACTTCGCATCTCCGATCCCGACCGTCTATACGAAGTCGTCACCGACGCCAGCGACATCGCCATCGGTGCAGTTCTCCTCCAGGACTTCGGCGACGGGTTACAACCAGTCGCCTACGAATCACGGAAGCTGAAGGGCGCGGAGAAAAACTATACAGTGCATGACAAGGAAATGCTGGCGATCGTCCAAACGTTCAAGACCTGGCGGCGCTACCTGACCGGAGCTGATGTCACGGTGTGGACGGACCACAAATCCTTACAGTACCTGCGCGCCCAACCGAATCTCAACCCACGACAGATCCGATGGCTTGATTTCCTCGAGTCCAACTTCCACTACACCATCACCTACAAACGGGGTGCCAATAATATCGCCGATGCCTTGACCCGCCCTACTGTCCATACCGCCGCGATACTAATCGCCCAGACTAACCCATTACTTACGGGACTATTCACCCACGGCTACAAGATCGATCCCTTTTTCCGCTCAGCCATCCATCAACAGCATACCACAGCCAACGGGCCATATTTTTATAAGCGTGGTACTTCTCGCATTTGGGTGCCGGGCTACGATTTACTTCGTACCCTCCTAATCCAGGAATCCCACGACAACCCTACCTCAGGACATTTCGGCGTCGATAAAACCACGAAGATGTTGCAGCGGAATTACTACTGGCCGAACATGGCCGATGACGTGCGCAAGTACGTGTCCTCCTGCACTGCCTGCCAGATCATGAAATCGTCGCATCAGCGAGCAGCCGGACTACTACAGCCGTTGGATCCGCCCGAGCGACCCTGGCAACAAGTCACGATGGACTACGTGACAGGACTACCGGCCGGTCCCAGTGGAAATGACGCCATCCTCGTGGTCATTGACCGACTCACAAAAATGGCGCACTTCATCGCCTGCCAACAGACAATCACCGCCGAGCAAACCGCGCAACTGTTCCTCACGAACGTCATCAGACTGCACGGACTGCCCTCCGCGATCATTTCAGATCGAGACCCGAAATTCAAATCGAATTTCTGGCGCCACCTGTGGGATCAATTCGGCACCAAACTCCAATTTTCATCTGCCTACCACCCACAGACCGACGGGCAGACCAAACGCGTCAACCAGACCATGGAGCAACTGATTCGTACTACCTGTACTGACCCATTGACATGGGAGAAATCCCTTCCACTGCTAGAATTCGCGTATAATAACGCGACCTCCGCCACAACCAACCAATCTCCATTCTTCCTCAACTACGGACAGGACCCAGTCGTACCCTCTACACCGACAATCGAGTCACCCGTGCCCCGGTCCCAGAAATTTGCTGAAGACATTCTCGCCGCTCGAGAAAAAGCAGCTGAAGCCATCCGAAAAGCCAACCTGGTCGCAAGCCGACAAGCCGATCGTCATCGCCGTGACGTCACTTACAAAGTGGGAGATCTAGTCCTCCTCGACACCCGCAATCTGCGGCTGCCGATCCCGAGCAAACTCCGACCCAGATTCTGCGGACCTTTTCAAGTGACCAACCTAGTGACACCTGTCACTGTTCACCTTCGACTACCGGCTGATTGGCGACACCACCCGGCTTTCCACGTCAGCCTTCTCCGACCCTACGTCCCGAGTTCGTTGGACTTGGCACGCAACTGCGGTGTACCGCAACTAACGCCTTTGCAGGAACCGATGACTGAGCCCCTGAAAATCCTCGGCCATCGCGTCACCACGCAGCTGAAC